ATAATGTATATTATGTATGTATAATATGTAAATATGTAAAATTAGTAACAAAATATGTATAATCTTTGCATATCTTTGAAATTTCCAGATGTTGACAAGTGTGGGTGAAATGAAAAGTCTCACATAGCACTGGTGAGATGTAAAACTATCGAAAAAAATTACAGAACGTTTTGTCAAATATGTTAACAATGCATATGTTCCCAAAGCCAATTCCAGGTTGAAGAATTTATTAGGAAATACTTAAAGCTATGCATAAAACTTTTGCTACAAGTATGTTTATTGTACAATTATTTATAGAGGTAAGCAATGCATACCTTATAATAAGAATATGACTGTATAAGTTGACACAGATCTATAGAATGGACTATATGAAGCTATTAAAAGTGATGTCGCCCAAGATTACTGAATGACAGGGAAAAGAGTTCATAATGCATTGTTAGGTGAAAACTACAGGCTGCCAAGCACTATGTACAGTAAGATTTCATCTTTGTTTCACATACACACACACATACACACACAGAAAAAACTCTGACTAGTGTGGATAGTGATTATCTCTGGGCAATGGGATTCTGGATGATATTTTCTGTTTGCTTATTTATATTTTTCTAATAACTACTCAGTTAATAATAATGACTAACATTTACTGCATGTTTACCATTGACCATCTGACACTGGGCCCTTCACTTATACTAACTAATTTAATATCACAACAATCCTATGACATAATTACCAGTGATTATCTTCAAATGATGAAAAGAGGCACACAGAGGTAAAGTAACTTGCCCGAGGGTACACAGCTAGGAAGTGGTACAGCAGAAATTCTAACCTAGGAAGTCTGATTCCAAAACTTTAGTTACTTTTTTTTGTAATAAGACCAAAATTTTATTATTAGTAACAACAAAAGCTTAAATAAACATAATTTTAAGATAACAATTATTTAAGATAATAGTTGCCTGTTCAGAAGGAGAAAAAAATGAAACAGGAAAGAAAAAACACTTTAGAAAGAAAAGCGTCATGATAGAAACGTGGCAATTAAGACCATAAACGTTAAAATATTTCCCTGTCAAAAAGAAGAAAAGACTTTCAGATTCCGGTTTGTTTTTTTTTTTAATCCAACAACATGCCACTTGTTATACAAGATCAAAGGACTTAGAAAGATTAGACAGAAGAATGGGCAAGGATCCACTAGGTGAGAAATATCTATCACTCTGCAACCCAAGAGGACAGGTTAAAGGTAGACCAGATCTCCTCACTCCTTGGCTCCTTCACTCACCCAGAGCAGAAAACAAAGTCCTTACAAGGCCCCCAGGGGATCTGCCACGCAGCCTCATTCTGCCTGTCCTCACCCCCATCACCCCCGCTTCACTGATCTGGCTCCAGCCACACAGGCCACTTCACTGCTCCTCCAACTTGCCAGGCTCGCTCCTGCCTCGGGGCCTTTGCTCTTGAGACCTCCGTGTGGTTCCCTCCCTCACCCCCTCAGGTCTTTGCTATAAGTCACCTTTTCGTTGAGTCCTTTCCTGAGCACTCTAATAAATCAGAATCCACCATCCCCCAACCTCATCTGTTTACTTTCCTCTAAGCACGTATCAGCCTCAAACATGCTATTTTTCACTGTTTCTTTTTGTTCATTTTAAAAGTTTGGTTTCTCGTTCTCCAAATAAAAAGAAAACTCCATGAGGCCAAGGATTCTTGTCTGTCATGCTGACTAGAGCCTCCTCAGGACACAGCTATTCACCACGTGTATTCGCTGAAGGAAGGAATGCAGGCCAGCAACAAGGCAACATCATGGCAGAAACAGTAACTGCCCCCAACAGAATTTTATGTTGATATAATAAGCCATTTTTAAAAAGAAGTCTTTCCTTAAATTGTCTTGAAGAGTTATGTGACTAATAATGATGCCACATACATATAAGCCAAAAATAATTAGAAACGAAAAAAATGTTCAAAAAAATATTTTACTGGGAGAACCCTAACAAGCACTATACACTTAGGTCAGATCAAGCAAACAGAAAGAAAATACGAAGGCAAAGAAGATCTGGATGTAATAAGATGGAATTTAATAGACATTAAAATGTATCTCCTACAAATAGTAAATATAATCTTTTTATCGAAATGTCCACAGAACATTTAGCAACAGTGAGCATATACTAAGTTAAATTGAAAAAAAGAAAGAAAAAGAAAGAAAGTAAAGTGTACAGGCCATATTCTCTAACACCAACACCCTCATTTAACATTAATAATAAAAATGTAAACCAAAAGCTAATACGAGAGGTAAAAAAAAACATGCCTCGATAAAAGCATGTTAGAAAGGAAATTAAAAATACAACCATAGACCCTGAGTAAGCAACAAAAGCTAGAAAATGACATATCAAAACTTGGAGGAAATATTTATTCCCTCAAATGCTTGTTCATTATTTTTAAAGAGCAGAGTAAGTTAAAAGAAGAAAAGTAAATGAGCAAAATGTTCAACTGAAATTCAAAGACAACCAAAAAACAAACCTACAGAAAAGAAGAAAACAGAAATCCAGAACTGATACACGAATCCCAGAGCTAATTCTTTGAAGGAAAAAAACAACAATAAAACAGATGAACCTCTGGAAAACAAGCGAGGAAGAAAGGAGACAGCAGAAATAAATAAAATTAGAAACACAGAAGAGGATTTGACAACAGACACAGAGCTGGTGGCAAAGCGACAGATGAGGGGCCAGAGGCTGGCGTCCCACATCTGGGAGCTCTCACAGCTGCTTCCGCCGTTCCCGCCGCGTGGTCTTAAATTACAGCACAACGAAAGAGCAGGGAGAGCTCATCCTCTTCCAGAGAGGGAAACCGAGTCTCAGAGAGGGGATGTGATTACCCAAGATCATTTTAACATAGGCATAAAAGAATTCCTGGGACAAAAATCCAATTCCTAGAATTTGGTACATCTAGAGTTCAGACACTATTATAGATGCGTTGACCCTGAATCCGAAGAGGGCTTTTATCTGCAAAATCTGGAGAGGCCTTTTATTTTGCAAAAGTTCCCTCCCAACGATTATTTTATCAACCTCACAACTATCCTAAGAGGTGGATGGGGATGCTATAATTATCCCTGATGAATGGAATCATATCCCCTGAGAAGGCTATAGTACAGGAGGTGAAGTGATTCACCTGAGGTCACAAAGCATCCATCCAGATAGAAGAGTCAAGGTCAAAACCTACCCGTCTACCCTCTAGGTCTCTGCCAACCCCTGTATGAGGAGGCAGAATGGGATGTGTATGTGCTTAGGCTGTGGCACCAAAGAGACCTGGACCCAAACTCCAGCACTGTCACTTATGAGCTGTGTGTCCCTCACACATTGCTTAACTACTCTGATCCCGGGAACAATGCTCCACCCAGAACTGCTGGGGGAATTAAAGGATGATGTAGGCGTAAATGTGGTCATCTTTTGGACTTGCTCCTGATGGGCGATCCCTTACATCAAGCTGTTTTGTCCTCCCTGCACTCTGCTGTCTGTTTCCAGGGAGCAGACAAGGCAGGTGCTGGAGCAGGAGGCAGGATGTGGCGCCTGAGGGAGACAGCTCTGGCCTTTCGCGCCTGGAGAACCACAGGAGGGAGAAGGGGGAGCACAGGATGAAAGCAGAGGGGCTTTGCCCCCCCCCGCATTGGAGGCCTGCCAGAGACCTACGTGGAGGGCCACAGCGTCACAGCAGCAGCTGGGGGCGGGGGGCACAGATGGAGGACTCTGGCTTTCCACGCGGGAGACTCAGACATGAGGGGCCACGGAAGTGCTGAGGGGGTGGGACCTGGCAGTGGCCTGGGGGTGGGACAAAGAAGGCACTAAGTGGACGGACCTCACAACCAGAGGCAACAGGCCGGGACCCGGGACTCCCATCCCAGGTCTGGGACCCATCCTGCCTGGGTGGGCACTGGTTCGGGGACCAGGCATGATCAGCCACACTGTAGCAGCGAAACCCAGAAGGCACCCTAGTGAAAGTCCCCTTCTCCTCGGCCACCATGAGGTCACAAAACTGCACGAGGAAGTCTAGGTCCATTATACAAAATAAGGAAGCTGTATTTTTTCTGCACATCGGGTTAGCGCTGTATCAGTGTGTGACTCCGAAACACCTGGAAAGTGATGAGCCAGTGCCTGGCATCTAGGAAGAGTCACTAAGTGGTAGCTATTGTTATTATAATTGTTATTATTATGTTCTCTCCTGTCTCATTTATGCCCCCTGGGGACCCTGTATTCTTTCTGTTTAATCTCTTTACGCTCAAGTGAAAGAGGAAGGAACAGGCGCTCTGTGAGTGGTGATGGCTGGAGCACGCAAAGTCAAATCATCCGTATGTTAAGAAAAATTATCCAAAACTTGGGAAAAAGGCAAAAAGTTGATGGTGTGACCTTCTAACGTCACGCTGGAGCATTTTCAAATTAGTTGTCTCCTTCCTCGCAGTAATATTACTTATTATTCACAACCCAGTAAAACCCAGATGGTCTCCCAACTCTGCAAAGATAGATGTTAACGTTGAGAAAACCGAGGTGAGATTTTGTTCTCCAGTCTGGGAGATAAGCTTTAACCTCCAAGGCTGCGATTTTACTGCCCTGTTTAGCAGCCAGTTTTCTCTCTAACTTAGCAAAGTTATTTCAACGTTCCTTTGTCTACTGACATACAAATATCAATTTCTCAAACTCTTGGAGTCAACTGTTCATCTTCCTGGTTTCCTCATTCATGAGCTAAGGAAAACTGTGATAAATGCTCATTATCTATTTTAAAAGAATTATGTTTTCAGCCATTTGTGAATTGTGCTTTAACACATCTTAATATTATTATTCTTTGTACGCTGAGCTTACATCCTCCTGCACATCTCTCAGCATGTCGTCACTGATTACTTATTTGTGTAATTTCTTCCTCAAGGTTTGTCTTCCCTTTCCAGAAGCTAAGCACCAGGAGGGCATGTCTGTCTTATACCTGACGTATCTCAAGAGACTAGAATGGAGTCAACACTCAACACATATCTGAATAAAAGCCTGTGATACACACGGAAGAGAGACAAGGAAGGGGTAGGATGAGCAACGGAAGGGATGTGTGGTTCTGATGATACGTCCTCTTTCTGGCTCAAGCAGTTTGGTTTTGATTTTCTTTCACTTGTAACTGAAAAAGCCCAGAGTGATACCATTCAGAAATGAGAGGATTCCTCTGAAAGAGATGCGAGCAGCCCCTAGCCCCCACTTCTCCCAAAGTTATAGTGCCAGGTTGGACTATCCATTCTGACTCCTTTACTCAGACAACCGTGGAACAACAGTTGTCAAGGGGGTTTACCTTGCCTTTTCATTGGGAATATTGGGCAAGGATTTTTTGCCATAAGAAGTGAGCAAAGAGCAAAAACTCCTGAATGAAGGAGACACTGCAAGTGATCATGACAGCAAGCCCCAGCACCTTTGTGGCCAGGCTTGGTAAGCGATCCCAATGAAGAGGCATCTTCGTAAGGAGTCGAAATCTGACAGTGGGTTGCACATATCTTTCAGGTAAAATGTGAGAGCCACTTTAGTACCCATGGGGCCTGTCGAGCTATATAATTGTGTAAAGTGGAGCAGATGTAAAGCAATAGGGAGTGGTGGGGACTGTGGCAAATAGAAAATCTATGTCCTGTCTAAAGAGAGCATTAACTATGCAACTGTTCTCAATTGTTGCCTGCTAGGCCTAGTGTGCCAGATATTTCTGGCTTTTCAAGCTAGAAGTCCAGATTTTTATAGGAAATGTCCTGATTTTTAAAATATTGGCAACTAATTATTATTACTATTTCTTAGTATGAGGACCAAACAAAACATATCTGTGAGGCAGATCCAATCTACCAGTCATCACTCTGTGACTCTGCTTTACTATTTAACTTTTAAGACAAATAGGAAAAAATACTTGATCCCATGTTTGATGGACCAAGCTGTATTGTAGCTTTTAAAGCAAAATCTTCCTTACCAGCCATCAACACCAGCTTTCTGCAATTCAGAAATCCCAAATGATAAAGATCCCATGAAGTCATTCCTGCTGGTCAGATCCCAATCCCAAATCTCTACAGAGAGTCTCCTGTCTTTGTCCGATTCTTTCAGCTGGCTGCAAAGAGAAAAAAGACAAGTCAGTGGAGGTTATAACGATTTCTCAAGCAGATGAAATGTACAAGAGGACAAGGCCTGAAGGTAGGAATTTTTAAAGATTACAAGCTGTTGCAAGAAACAAATTCAGTTTCCATCCCAGGCAAGCTCCCCAGGGAGTGAGAGATTTTCCTGTCTGACAGCCTGTGGCTTAAACAGGCGGAGGACCCAGGCCAGCGCCGACAGGAACAGTCCTAACTACTTCTGCTGTCTTATGTCTTTATAGGGTTCGTGGTGTTCAGGAAGTCCCATTGACACAGTCTCTATGAGAAATATAAATGTCAATTATATAACTGTGTGTGTGTTTGCATGCATGTGGATTAGGATGAGGCTGAAGAAATGTATGGAGGAAAGAGTCTGTGGATGCTGATCTGGAGGAAATCGTCTATTCTAAGGCATGTCCTTGACTGAGGCTGAGATGGGCCCCGGTTTCACCCTGAAAGAGGAAAGAGGGGATGGGGCTACCACAATGAATCATGCTTTTGGCCCGTGGTCTCTGGAGTCAGACTGTCGGAGGCTGAATCCCCCATGTTGTGAGACTCTGAGTGTGTTCTTTAACTTCTTTAAGCCCCATTGGTAAAACGGAGATGAAACGACCAACGAAGCCAGATCACTTAATACAGTGTTTGTTATACATAGCACACACTCAGTAAATATCAGCTGATATAACTAACACTTGTTGGCCCAGATGCATCAAAAATGGACCCCAGGCTCTTGGAGCACTGGCCATGGAAGACCCTCCACGGCAGCTGGCAGAAAGCTCCAGCAGGCTGCAGGCCCAGCATCATGCATCAACTCAGCCCCAGGGAGGTTATCACCACACCCTGTGGGTTATGTCCCACTATCTGCTGAGACCCAGAGCTTCTCCCACAACTTGCCTTCACCTAGCAACACATCACACTATTTTCTATCCCACCCACTCCCCCACACCACAGACATTCTCAACTCTATTAAAAAAAAAAGTTCCAATGTTTATTTGGCTTGCAATGCAAAAATGCAGATGGAAGGGGAGGGAGGGAAGGAAGAAAGGAGGGAAGGAGGAAGGGAGAGAGGGAAGGAGGGAAGGAAACAGATGCTGGGAGAGGAACTCTCCAATCTCAGGTGGCCCACAACCCAACCTCCACCACCCATGCTGGGCTGCAAGAATTTCAACTTACAATCTAAACGTCTCATTCCACTCAGGGTTGAGGGAGCACTTGATGGTTTTGGTCTTCTGCTTGCTCTCACTTTTGGGGTCAGGAATCAGTTTCAGTTTCACGTAGGGATCTGACAAGCCATTGGGGTCCATAGGTACAAGGTTTTTAGCATCTCTTACTAAAAAAAGAAAAAGCAGTTTCAGCATTAATAACCACCAAAATGTTTAAGCACCAACCAGAGATGGCTGCAGAACCTATGGAGGGGTCCTTGGCATCATACTTAATTAATGGGAATTTTCGTTTATTAACATCAATATCTAAGAAGCCTACAAAGTGACATAAACTGATAAGATGTAGACTCTGCTCTATATTGGTTTAAAATTGATTTCTGACTTTCATATTACTCTGCCTCCAAGATTAACTATAAGTTCTCTAAGCTTGTTTTCCACAAAGCTTATAAGAAAGATGGGCTTCTTTCATATAGCATAATGTCTTCAAGATTCACCCATGTTGAGTCAGTACTTCATTTATGGCAGAATAATATCACCTTGTATGGATATATCAAATTTTGTTTATCTATTCAACAGTCGATCAACATTTAGGTTGTTTCCATTTTTTGGCTATTGTGAATAGCACTGCTATGAATATTTGTGTACTCCAATAAAAAAGGTCACATATTGTATGATTCCATTTACATGAAATATCCAGAACAGGTAAATCCATCAAGACAGACAACAGACTGGCAGTTGCCAGGGGCTTGGAGGAAGCGGGGGACTACTTAATGGGCATGTGGTTTCCTTTATAGGTGGTGAAAATTTTTTGGAACTAGATAGAGATGATGGTTGCATGCACAACACTGTGAATGTACTACATGCCACTGAATTATAAAATGGTTAATGGTTAACTTTATGTTATGTGAGTTTTACCTCAATTCAAAAAGAAAAAGCTAAAAGAGAAAGAAAGAGTTGCCCTCTAAATCAAGGTGTACCTATCAACCATGTAGCACCATAACCAGTATCCAGACCGGCCTACAGAGAGAAGGCTGGAAAAATATTGGCAAGTATTATAGCTAGGCTCCACCCTCAATCAAGAATATCCTGGATAAAGGAGGCTATAAGACCACCTCAGAGAAGGAAAGGAAGCAGAGGGTCAGCAGTGTAGACGCAACTGGCCACAGGAAGGATGAGGTGGAACAAGACATCAGCCTGGAGGAACAGGAAGAAGTTAATTAGGAGTCAATTCAAAAACTGGTAACGTAGCTAACCAAGGGAGAGAGACAAGAAAATAGAAGTTGTAGAGATCTTAAGGATACAGTGCCAACCATCTCACTTATGGTAGAAAAATTCAAAGTAATATATTAACAGATTGAATCAAACTATCTTCCAGAAGCTAATATATAATGACTCCTACCAGGAATGCAAAGATGGTTCAACCTTAGAAAAATCTATTATTAAAATATTCATCATATTTATAGGTCAAACAAAAAAAACCATAGAATCATTGCAATTAGCTAGAAATAGCAGGGAATTTTCTTCAGAGGATAAAGGCTAGCTGAAATAACAGCACCGCAGTTAATGATAAATGCAATCCCATTAAAATCAGGAATAAGACAGATACACATTACCACAGCCATTATTCAACATTTTTTCTAAGTGTTCTATAAGTGCAACCGGACAATAGAAACAGAAGTTCTATAAGTTCAAGAAGACAAGAAAATCAAATTAGAAGAAAGAATATTGGAAAGTAGAGACTAAAGCATTCCCTTAATTCCTGAAACCTTTGCTTCTGCCCCATCACAGTCACCTCTGCCTAGAGCTTATCATCCCAGAAATGACACCATTTTCCCAATCTCAGTTTCATGTACCCCACTACCCACACATTAGACCAGTTCCCATTTTCCAGTTCACTAACTCTAGTACCCCACTGCAACAAACCTTTCACCACCAATCAATCTATTGAGCCTAATATATTTTCTCTTTCCCCTCATTCCCTCTTGCCTTTACTCCATTCACCCGAGCTTAGATTGAACGGTGCATCATAATCACTCCCTTGAAAACATCCTCAACTCCCTTTATTTCCATTTCATTTATCTGACAAAACCCCAGCCCTAGTTAAATTCAAATATCTTCCTTTTATTTTCCTACATCCAAGAAGCTGTCCATTGCTGGGGGGGGCGGGGGCACGGGGACTGACTTGCCTAAGATCATATAGCTAGTAAGAGGTTGGGACTGAATAAATAAGATGAGAGAAGGGCTAGGTGGGCTGCCAGATGAGGGACAAGGGACCCCGGGATGCAAGCAGTAACTTACTCTGCCCTGACATTTTTCTGCATTCTAGCATATGGCACCTTTTTCCATTTATCCATACGTTGAATTCACGCTCCCTCTCAGCTTGCAAGGTACATCTCCTTCTTGCATCAGAAACAAGATTTTTTTTTACGTTGATTCAATTCAGTTCAACAAGCAAGTCCCTACTATGTGCTAGGCATGCTGCTAGGCACTGGGGACACAGGGGAAAATATAAGATATTGATCCTATCCCCAAGGAATATATAAGACGAAATTTATTCAAAGTATAGTTGATTTCTCCTGAGACAGTAACCAGGTCATATAGTACAGTGGGTACAGGACTACAAGATGCCAGGGTCTGCATTTTGCTTAGCAGTTACTTCATATTTTGAATCTCAATTTCTTGACCAATGAAATAGAGATAATACATACCTCATTGCGTTGTTATAAAAGTAAATTGGATAAAGCATATACATGTTTAGCATAGAATCCAGCATCTAGAGAATAGTCAATAAATGTTAGCTCTATTCCTGCTATTTTATCATTATTATCATTCATATTCAGTTCCCTCTTTTACTACATTTGTTCATTTTTATTATGAGGACTTAACCATTTCTGAATGGACTGATATCAAACAGAACCACTTGTGGTTTTTATTCTTGAGCATAACGCATCTGACCATTTAAACCCTTCCAGAGGAGTGCTTCTCAAACTTTAGCGGGTGTAAGAGTCACCCAGAGGACTTGTGAGACATGTTCCTGAGAGCCACTCCCACAGATAGATTCTGATTCACTAGGTCTGGAGTGAGACCTGCTCAGTTGTTTTTCTAACAAGTTCCCAGGTGACACTGATGTTGCTGGTCCATAGAGCACACATTAAGTAAAGCTTTTCTAGATACATATAACTTCTTAAGATCCCCATGCATTTTCCCCACAGAATACTATCTCCAACATTATTTTCTCTCATTTATTGAGGCTTCCAAGGAAAATAGCAAGTGCTAGTTTCTAGGCTGGGCTCTTGGAATGGCACATCTATCACATAGCGAGCTGCATGAAAACACGATTTGAAACACTCTGAAGTGCCAGAAACTCGTCTGGTTGATTGGCAACACATATGCAGTTGGAAATAGCTCGTCTTTCTTCTCTCTGCTAAGACAACACCCTGCTTCCTTGTCCTATGAACTGACACCACAGGACAATCATCAGGAGAACATTCTTCTATTGTAAATTTACGACTTCATCGCTCTTTCAGAGTGCTGTTTGCAGGACAAGTGTGTGGTATTCTTTTGTGTGTGTGTGTGAGGAAGATTAGCCCTGAGCTAACACCTGTTGCCAATCCTCCTCTTTTTTGCTGAGGAAGATTGGCCCTGGGCTAACATCCGTGCCCATCTTCCTCTACTTTATGTGGGACGCTTGCCACAGCATGGCTTGACAAGCAGTGCATAGGTCCACGCCCGGGATCCAAACCTGCAAACCCTGGGCCGCCAGAAGTGGAGCGTGCGAACTCAACCACTATGCCACCGGGCTGGCCCCAAGTGTGTGGTATTCTTGAGCCAATCTCACAACTAACGGTTTAAGAATGATCTCTCTTTGGGCATCTACTTCCCTTGAACCAAACATTCCTAAGTGAAGCCTGACTCCATCTCTCCCCCAACCCTTATAGATCCTTTCTTCTTCTTCTGTCCTTTTGGGTCTATCCTCTACCGAAGGGGACAAAAATTTCTGTGGAAAGGAATGGAGTGGAATTGATTCTGGGACTGCTGGCATTCGCATCTCCAAGGGCTCTGGATACTAAAACCACTGTATCATGAGCAGTTGACAGTAGCTGCAGGCTAAGATCCAAAGGCCTGTCCCTCTTGAAGCTTTTCAAAGTAGAGTCATCCTTCCCAGCAGCAAGAGAGCCGCATATGTATCAAGGAAGCAAATCTCTCTAGACCACACTTGGCGAGACTGACTTTGATTTTTCTTGATAAATGTTTCTTTACTATCTTTGTTGAAATCCAGCCAGCCCAGATGGTACAAAATGCTTCACACAAAGCAGAAATAGCAACCTTCTCCCCTGGTGGAAGTTTGCTAAATGTACAGGAGAAAAGTGTCCTGATCCAGGGAACATTGCTTCCCTTGGACGTGAAGCTAGGTGGGGGGTAAGGTCTGGCTGTTTCCATCAAAGGGTCTTCAGAGCAAATGAGGCCTCTGCATTCTGGTGAAAGTTACTTAAAACAGTGCTAAATCCATAAAAAGATAGCACTAATGTTAACTATTTTCCTAAGTATTGTTCTTCACCAAGAACTTTCCAATTCTTTTTTTTCTCCCAAAAAAATACAACTATCTATTGGAAAAGTCTGAATAATTTTGTTGCTTTAAAGCCTTTATCTCACATTGTGAGAACCAGGAACTTTTTTTTATTAACTCCTTTTGAAGGAACTTTCTTCAACCTCATGAGTCCTCACTATGTGTCCTCAGAACAATTATTCAAAGCAACATTCACTAGTATTCAGTTATGTTTGAAGATGTTTGCAAAGACAGAAAGTAGGAAATACCCTGAATGCCCATCAACAAGAGAAAGGGTAAATAATCTATAGCATATTCGTACTGCCAAATACTATGCACATGTTAATAAGACTGGGCTGTCTATATGCACTAACATGAAGAAAACAGCAAGATGAAGATAGATGATTACAATATACTACCTGTTTGTTTAATAAAAAAGGTCTGAGGACTTCCATGGTTCAGTTGATGACATCTGGATCTGGACTGTGGATTAGGTAATAGCATTGGGTCAGTGTTACACCTCCTGATTTGGATAATTATACTATGCATATGTAAGAGAATGTCCTTGTTCTTGGAAATAGACACTGAAGTATTTATGGGCAAATGGAAACCACGACTCCA